TCCCTCTTAACATTTTACTACAAAGATGTCTCAGCTGTTATGTCTGCTTGGTTTGAATGTTGGTTCTTTCATTTCACAGATACAATTTTGGTCAAGTTATGTAACCACTTCTGTTTCCTCATCCATAAAACAGTAATAATAGTACTTGCTGTTACTGCTATATTATGTCCACTCTAAGAAAGCTGTGTTTTATTTGAAAGTTTGTGCAGTTGGGATTTAACAACTGTTGGTAGGGTTTTTTATTGTTCTTTCATTTGTGGGCCACAAATAATGATATACCTTATAATTTGTAGTATATCTTACACTGGATATTGTATACTAGTATGTGTCCATCTTTTTTTTTCTTATCAGTACAGATAAGATCATACAATTTATACTTTTTTACACTTGAAAATTTTTTATGAAGACAATTTCAGTGTCAAATACAGATTTAATGTATTCTTTATGGTAGTTGCATAATGTTATATGGATATTTTAAAATTTATTTTACTACTCATGTATTAATTGGCATTTAATTAATTTTTTTTAATGGAAGGTTTTGGTAAGTGGAGTTTATGGTGAAAGGGGTCCTTTATGAAGATAACATGAATGGAGTTTGAGGAAAAAAGTACAGGTTACCGTTTGGGACTTGTTTCTGTTTTAGTAGAAAAGAAATTTGGGACAGATTGTAAAATAGACTCTAAGACTGGGTCAAGGACTTCAGATTTTCCTTTTCCAATTTCATGGAACTATTCAACACTGAAGACTAATTAGAAATTCCTTCCCTGTTTCACTTTGTTCCTTTCCCTCCCTCTCTCCTTTTTCTTCTCCTTCCTATTCCTCTTTTCAATTAGTTTACCTATAACCATGTTCATGTAATATAGTTGATTACCTTAGTATCAATTTAAATTGGCTTACTATCAATTTTAAAATTTAGCATGTTAATTTTGAAGACAGAAGGTATGTATGCTCAGTAAGTTTTTACTTCCATTTACAAAATTATGAATAGTGGAAAAATAGGTTGAAAATAAAGTCTGCAACTATCTTGATAAAGTGTCTTTGAAAGGTTGAACTTCAGGTGCAAAAATTTTTGTAGATAAAGGTACAGTTTTGCTTTTTGCTTAGGAGAAATTAAAAAAAAAAAAAAAAACTCACAAGGGTAGTTACTCAAATGATTCCATGAATGCGTTTAGAAAAGATGTGCATATAGAAAAGATGGGTAGTTGTAATCAACCAAGAATCTGTTGCTTCAGTGGAAGTGCCTCATCTGGAACAAGGTCTTTTTAAAAAAATTTTTTGGGGGGCTGGTGAGATGACTCAGTGGTCTAAAGCACCTATTTAGAACAAGCTTAACAAAGCACATGGACCGCGGTTCAATCCCCCAGCACCACATGCCAGCCAGCTCCGCCCCCTGGGGGCTGAGCTGGCCTCACACACACACACACACACACACACACACACACACAAATAAATTTTAAAAAATTTTTTTAAAAATGCTTTATTTATGTATTTATTTAGTATAGGGTCTTGCTACACAGCTCAGACTTGCAGTAATCGTCCTGTCTCAGCCTCCCCAGTGCTGGAATTACAGCTGTGAAACACCATGCCTGGTTTTGGTGGCCAGCACAGCAGCATGGCAAGTGGTACTGGGGATTGAACCTGGGTCCTTGTGCTTGTCAGGCAGGTGCTTAGACCACTGAGCTATCTCCCTAGCCACTGGAACAAGGTCTTAACTAGTTTGTTTGGCTCTGATCTCATTTGTGATTTCAAGTGCCACAGTGAAAGCAATACTGAGAAAATTAGAAATTAGAATGAATTTAAGAGTGAAGGAACTGCTTTGTTACATTGAGTGAAACTGGGGGATGGGATATAAAATGGGTGTTTAACACTCATGGAGAAAGAAAAATGAGTAACTGGGGTGTAAAAGCAGTAAGACCATCACTAAAAAAAAAGGGGGGGGGCTGGGGAGATGGCTCAGTAGAATAAGTGCTTGCCAGGGGCCTGCATTCAACCCCTGGTTCGGGGATTAGGGGGAAGACCATCACATTTTTCTAAAAAGCAATACAGATTTGTTAGTATGACATTATTTTTTCATTTTCTACACCAATTCCAACTATTTCCCCTTGTTTCTTATGTTCTTTAATATTCCATGAGCATTTAGGAATGGTCTGTGCTGATGTGGGGTCTCTGAGGATATTTGAGTAGATATGCACTATGAACAGCACTAGAGGGAAGCAGTTCATACATGTTTAACTCAAATTCAAATTTTTGTTTGTTTACTTCTCTTCATAATTTTTTTTTCAAAACAGTAATTAAATTGCCTTTAGACTCTTTTTTTTTTTTTTTGTATTTTAAGAAGGGTCTACAGGGTGTTTAGGGTCTCACTCATTACTAGATCAGATCCACCTGTTTATAGTCTTCCAAGAGCTGGGATTACAGACTTGCCCCACCATGCCCAGTCTCAAATTGTCTTCTCAGCGGGAGTGGGGATAGAATCCTTGGCCCCTGAGTCTGTTTGCAGGTGCTTTTATCTGCCCAAGCTAAGCTATTTGGCTGGCCCTTAGAATCTGTTTTTAGAACACATGTCCAGGCTTGAACATTTTATTACGTTAAATTGATATTATTGTCATATGTTATTCTAACTGAGCTGAAGATACCGTGTAGTGTGTTAACTGTATTACCGTTAGAAGACCTGGGGTCAAGCACCTGTTGAAACATGAGAAAACACAGGGTTCCCCAGCAGTGACTGGATGGGACCTCCTTTTTTCTTTCTTTTTTTGTGTTTTTGATTTTGAAATATTTCTGCAAAGCAGCTAATATATTAAAATCCTATAAATAGAATTTTGCTCAGGGATTTAAAAATTGTTTTTCTTTTGAGAGGAAGGGACACTTAGAATGTTGTTGTGATGGTTTGGATTATTAAAATGCTTACTTCCTAAGTTTTTTCTTTTGCTGATCATTATCCCACAAAATGTTACTTTTATTTGTAAATCTAAGCTATGACCAGGTTCAGTTACTTACTTGAAGAAAATTGAAGGATTTTGGTATAGAAAGTATTGTTTTCACTCTGGCTAGGAGTAAAAAAAAATTTTTCTTTTAAACAGATCAAGAAGTTGGTGTATGTTTACCTGGTCCGCTATGCAGAGGAACAGCAGGACTTGGCACTCTTGTCCATAAGCACTTTTCAGCGAGCCCTGAAGGTAAATGATGGAATAAGCAGGCAAATAGCTGCACAGTTTCTGCACAGTCGAAGGTGTGTCATTTAAAGAACTGGAGCAATAATCCACTAACTAGCCCAGTAGTATCTTGAAAGTTAAAAGGCCTCCCATAGTGCCTATTCAATACTCTTAGAAAATAATTTATACGACCAAGTGGAACCTTGCCAAATAAGTTGCAGTTCCTATGTTTCCTTATGTGTAGTAAAATTATTAATCTAATACTACCAGTGTCAAGGAGACATAGAACATTTTAGAGGTAACTTTTATGACATTTGGCATTTTATTATGAAACACTAAAAACCTAGCCCATTTAGTAATAAACTATCAATTAGAATTTTGACCATCAGTTTTCTTAAAACATTAAGAAATAAACATTTACTTTTTTTAATCCATATGTTTGTTCATTTTAAATTAAGAAGCTTTTTTATACAGTTGTTTTTTTATCCCCCCATAAACACTTATAGATGTCTTTGATACATTGTAAACTTGCAATTTTGATGAATACTCTTGCACTGTTTTCAGGACCCAAACCAATTAATCCGTGCAAGTGCTTTGAGGGTTCTCTCAAGTATTAGAGTGCCGATAATCGTGCCTATCATGATGCTCGCTATTAAGGAAGCTTCTGCTGACTTATCGCCATATGTCAGAAAGAATGCAGCCCATGCTATACAGAAACTGTACAGGTAGGTGTGCTGTTCATGATGCTGAAGATCTGTAATGCTGTGCATGATGTTACGGACCATAGTGAGGCCTGTTTTATTAGTTCTTATGACAACCTACCCTTATGCTGAATAAATTCAGTGACTGTCTTTTTTCTCCTACAAACACTTATTATGATTTGTTCTAGAGACCCCCTCATGTTTTTATTTGTAAGCCTGTTAGGACCTGTGATGATTTACAGATTTCTGTAACTCTAATGGGAATTTGAATTCTCACTTGTCTGTCTTATGTACACATGATGGCCTTTTAAAAAAATTGAGGTTTATCCCTTTTACTACAGAGTAAAATTTTTTTTTTGTTTTTTGTTTTTATTTTTTATTTTTTTTCTTTTCAAAGTTTTATTGATAAACATATAGCAATGAGACAGTTTCAAATCAAATCAAAAGTACAGTTTCAACAAATAATACACTGCATATATTCTTCTTAGTGGTTAATTGCTGTACAAGATGTGGACTTGTGATCCTACTTACAAACACCATTAGAAAAAATCATTCTGTTCATTAAGAGAATGCAACTATATATCTATCCCAACCACTTTGAATACACAGATACAAAATGGACATTCATCTGTATACCCTATTTTTTCTAAGTTCCGTTATTGAATATTATAGGTGTGTAAGCTCAGCAAAATATTCTAAAAGAGTCCAGTAGCCCATAATAGCATTGGGTCTTCTGTTTAACAGAGTAAAATCTTAAGTGTATTATCCTGATGGCTCCCTTACCTTTCTTTTTCTTTCTTTTGTTCTTGCTTCTCCTTTTTTGAAGTCTGATGATTTTCCAGAGCTATTTTATTAATTTTTTAAAAACACTGATTTTTAAATATAGTATCATGCTATATTTCATAACATTTTAACGGATACTATACAATGTCTTGATCTCTGTGGAAAACATTGCATAAATAAAATTATCAAAACAGTTCAGTATTCTTTTCTTTTTTTTTTTTTTTGCGGAACTGGGGATTGAACTCAGGCCATTGTGCTTGCCAGGCAAGCGCTTATCCTATTGAGCCATCTCCCCGGCCCCTAAAGCTATTATCCTAGACAGAGATGAATTTTCACCATATTAAGGAACCGTTTTACTTTTTTTTTGACGGAACCAGGGACTGAACTCAGGCCCTTGTGCTTGCCAGACAAGTGGTTATTCTACTGAGTCATCTCCCTGGCCCTCAGTATTGTTTTCTGATACCTTTTATTTTTACACACTTCTTTGAAACCATTTGTGTGTTTGCTATAATATTCAGTATGTACTGTGCATGAGATATGTAAAATCAGAGGATGGGATACTTACGAATTACATCACAAAGCAGAATAAGCAAGTCAACCATATGCCAAATAATTAAAGGTATTCTATAACTGAATAAATTACACATGCTATATATCTATTGACAAAGACTCATTAATAATGTCTTGATAGGTCAGGGGTGATTATGTTATATAATTATACAAGAAAGTAAAGATGTAAATAAAATGGAAAGGGAAGGCTTAGCTTTGAAAAGAGAATTTGAGCTGTAATTTGAAAGAACTAAAAAGGTTTTAAAGTTAGATGTTCAGGTAATTACAGTGGTTAATATTAAGCTTGCATGATGTTTGTGAAACGTCCACACTCATATTCTTAGGTTAACTGTAGGTTAAAGTATGCCTATCGTCAGGCTCCAGTTTAGTTTTCTGCCTCACTATGTCCTCCCTGCCTTGATCTTACACTCTTAGCACTGTAGCACTATCTGTTACTTTCCTATTATCAGTTGTTTTTACCCTTTACTGCCTCTTTTTTGTTGTTGTTGGTTTTAGATGGCAGGCTTTATAGTGTATGTCTCCATTAATAAACTAGATTAAAGTACTCTTACTTGCAAATTCTTTCTGTATTTTTTTTGGTAATAATGTATTAATCACCAACAATACTAGCTATCTTATCCCCCCAAATGGAAAATAAATTTATGGTTTATCTACTTGCAATTTCTTTCTTGAGTTTTTCCAACATTTTTCAGGAGTGAGCTTATTTTTTAAATACTTTCTTAATGACAAGGGTGTTTGGTTTAGTTCATATGTGCAATATTAAAGCGAAAGATTAGGACATATTTCTGAAAAAAGTCCCATTTTACTCAAATTTGGGTAATTTTTGAAATCATTCTTTCTTATCCTCACTTTAAAAATTTTCAACATTAGTGACATTATGAACATTTTTAAAAGCTAGAATTATTAAAGGGAAACAATTAATGTACTTTCCTATTTTTATTTTAGTCTTGATCCAGAACAGAAGGAAATGTTAATTGAAGTAATTGAAAAACTTCTGAAAGATAAAAGTACAGTAAGTAATATCTTTGTCATTAAAGTACAGCAAAATTGTACTTTATTTGCATATCATTTGCTAGTTATAGATGATATAGTTATTTTCATTGTTTTGAAAATGCTGTGAATATTAATTTAACTCATGCCTATTTTAAAAATACTTAAAGAATAAACTTTCCATGTCATGAGAAGGGATTGCATTTGTGATTTTATTTGTTACATATTTCATCATCAGACTTTGATGAGGAGGAAAATGTTTCAAGCAATGATTTGTTAAGATTTTTTAAGGGCTGAGTCACCTGGGAAGCAATAATTGCTCAAGAAATACTGAAAAATTAGAGGGATATATTCTTTAAAAATGTTTTGAAAACTATGAAATCATTTTCATCAGTACAAGTTTATTTCATTGACTCCGAATTATCTCTGATTAAAAAATAATCTTTTGCTAATGTAACTCCTCTTCCTCCTTTTCTACCCCCCCCTTTTTGTGTGTGTGTGTGTGTGTGTGTGTGTGTGTGTATTCAGCGAATGAGAGCAAGAACCTGACCCTATAAGGTCTGTGAACAAGCCGCTGGTGGGTCTGATGGGGCTTCTGGGTTTACCTTATGACTCAAAACTACTAAGGAAAAGGCTTCCAGCTCAGGTTAGGGTGCTGTTGCCAGTAGGTATGTGATACCTGTGTGCAGCAGCTGTGGAAGATAATAATGCAGTAATTACTGGTCCTGTCGAGCTTTTGTTTTACGGTTTAGCATATGGTCTGACCTGGAGAATGTTCAGTGTTCAACTGGAAAGAATGTATTTTTTTTACTTTTTTTGCATGAAGTGTTCCACAGATGGTCTCAGGTCTAATTGTTTTGTAGAATTGTTCAAATTTATTTCTATGCTGATGTTATTTATAACTAATGATCATATCCATTATTGAAAGTGAGATATTAAAGTCTCTGTTCAGTTCTGTCAGTGCTTGCTTCACATATTATTTAGGACCGCCACTGTTGTTTATTTATAAATTTATTTATGAATGTTTCTTTTCTTCTTTTTTTTCTTTTTTGGTGGAACCGGGATTGAACTCAGGTCCTTTCAGTTGCCAGGCAAGCGCTTATTTTACTGAGCTATCTCCCAGGCTTTTATAAATGTTTCTTATTATAAAATATTCTTTATTTCCAGTATCACTTGTATTAAAGTTTCTTTTGTCTGACAGCACTACCATTCTAGCTTTCTCTTGCTTGCTGTTTAAATTATATATATTCAACCTATTCATAATTTCTAATTTGTTGTATGCCTCACGCAGGTAGCATATTGTTGGCTATCTTTTAGTATAGTCTGACAGAATACCTTTTGGCTGGATTGTCTGTTTCATCCACTCTCATTACTAGATACTTGGATTTTCAGCTGCCATTTTACTTGTTTTTCTGTATTTTGTTTCTTATTCTTTTACTACACTTTTTGGCATTAAATTAATATTTTAGTGAACATTTAAAGTCCTTTAATTTTAAATTATATGACTTTAATAGTACTATATGTTTTTGTTTTTTAATTTTTGTTTTTGTTTTTATTTATATTTATTTATTTTTGTATTTGGTACAGGGTTTGCAGGGTCTACAGAGTCTCACTACATATATTAGACTCAGTAATTCTCCTGTTTTCAGCCTCCCAAGCACTGGGATTACAGGCACGCGCCACCACGCCCAGTCTCAATCACAGTCTCAGCTTACCTTGGGCCTAGGGCCGGCACAGCACACAGGGGATCGAACCCTGGCTGCTGTGCTCTGCTTAAGCAAGCACTTTAGTTCTCTGAGCTGTCTGGCTGGCCCTAATTATTGTTTTTATTAGTACTTGTTTTTAGTACCTAATAGTTACATTTGTTCTGGGGCATAGGTCATGTACATTTTACAGTTTAATTCTGTGTATAATGGCTTGCTGTCTTCTCTGTATCCTTCCTTCCATCTCAGGGAGTTTATACTTGGAGTTTCATTGCTAGGTCTGTCAACTTTCTTTTAGTCTGGAGAATAGCAGAAATAATTATTGCTTTTTTTTTTTCTTAATCCAATTAGAATCTTTTTTTAATGTATTTAGTACAGGGTCTGCAGGGTCTCACTATACAGATCAGACTTGTAGTGATCCTTCTGTTTTCAGCCTCCAAAGTGCTGGGATTACAGGCCTGCACCACCACACCCAGTTTCAGTTACTGTCTCAGTGTGCCCCAGGGGCAGGGCCATCATGGCAAGTAATACAGTTAACAAATGAAAACAAAGAAAAAACACAATTAGATTCTTTTGTCTTTTGTATCAGAGGCATGCTACCTGCTAACCCTAAGACTTAGATATGAAACTATATTATTGATACTCTAACATAGTTGATTATAGTGACTTAAAAAATGCTGTTTCTTTTTATTTACAGAACATTTGCTAAGTACTGTGAAGACTAGTAAGACCTACAAGAAATAGATCCTTCATTTTCATGTAATTTACTATCATTTCTGCTCTATAGACAAGGAATTTGTTGGACAGACTAAGAGTATAACTTTTGTGATATGTGTGAATGTCTTTCCAATAGGATATGTTTTATCACAGGTGAAAACTGTACTCTTGAGAATTATAATCGACAGATTAAAGTTCTTGCTTAGGGAGATGCAGGGACCAGGCTTCAATCCCTAGCATGCTGGCCTGCCTACAAGGTGTGCTGAGATGACAGTTGAGACTGGGCATGGTGATGCATGCCTGTAATCCCAGCTCTTGGGAGGCTGAAAACAGGAGGATCAATATGAGTCCGATCTGTGTAGTGAGACCCTGTACTAAATACATTAAGAAAAAGAATTACAATCGAATTTGTCTGAGATTCTCCCATTAGTCATTAAGTAGCTATGTGTAGTAAGTGTTCATGAGTTTTGGTGTAAATTTGTAGCTTTTATTTTCTTATTCTCCGTGGGTTTTTTTGTTTGTTTGTTTAGGTTTTTTTAAGAATTGGAATTGACTCTAATCTACAAAATTGAAATAGCTTTCCTTCCTTCCCCAGTTCCTAGGACTCTGACTTGCTCATGCTCATGCTCTCGCTCTCTCTCTCTCTCTCTCTCTCTCTCTCTCTCTCTCTCTAATTCTATAGGCTAATTCCATCAGTAAAGCATTTAATAGTAGTGGAGATGATGGGCAGTGAGTATCATTGTCATGTTTCAGTCTAAAGGAAGCTTGTGCTGTATTTGCATTTAGTAAGATGTTGGCCCTGACGCTTTTTTTGGTCTTTGAAATAAATTAGTTTTGTGAAATACTTCAGCGTTAGTTGACGTGGGTCAAATTTTTTCTGGTAACTAGTGAAAGTCTCAAAGTGTTATACAAGTATTGTTTCTAACTTCTTAAGATTACAATTTTTGAGGGCTGGTGAAATAGCTCAGCAGATTAAAGCGCCTGCTTAGGCAGACACAGGAGCCAGGAATTAGATCCCCAGGCCTGCCATGCTGGCCCCGACCCCAGGGGTGTGCAGAGATGGCGATTGACACTAGGCCTGTTGATGGGTGCCAGTAATCCCAGCACTTGGGAGGCTGTAAACAGGAGGATCACTAGGAGTCCGATCTACGCAGTGAGACCTTGTACACCCTGCCCTAAATACAAAATAAAGATTATAATGTTTGATATTAATAATGCTCAACTGTTAACTTTCTTTGGAGATTGAAATTTTATGCAAGTTGGATCTTTTTTTGCCTGCCTTATATCTCAACTACTGTCTCTATAAATATTTTTGTCTTTATTTGATTTTCTTTCTTTTTAAGAAAAATTTTTTTTCTGATTTTCATTCTCTTACTTCTTTTTCTACTTTTCCTTAGTGCTCCTTACTAAATTTCCATTCAGTGATTTTTGTCACAGGGCATCTCACAGTTTACCTTTATGTCTGATTATCCCGCTACTTTTTTTTTTGTTTTTTTTTTTTTGTGGGCAGAACTGGGGATTGAACTCAGGCCCTTGAGCTTGCCAGGGAAGTGCTTATTCCACTGAGCCATTTCCCAGCCCTTCTATTTTGAATTTCTGTTGATTTCAATCAACTGCTGTTTCATTTTTTTGTTAACTTGTGTTCTGCTTTTGAATTGAGATTAATGCACATTCTTATCTATTTTCAAATGCTTCTTTGAGACTATTTAGTTTACTGAAGTGTGTTGCATTACAGTTACCCTCTGTCCTTGATTTTTTTGTGGTTAATTTTCACCAGGTGGATTACTTCTTTATTTTCTGTTTTCAGTACTAGATTACTTTCTTCTTTACATTTCTATAAGTAGGGCTGATAGTTTTTGTTTCATAGTAGCTTGCAAGATTCTGAATATAAGAACACCCTTTCATATTAGCAAAGAATTCTTTTTTATGGTGTCTTTTGGCACAGAGGGTATGCCCAGCAAGGGGCACATGTTAGATTATTCTGAAATGTATTTGAAAGGTTCTAAATTTACCCCTCTAAATTTTTCTTTCTGTTACCTCACAGTTTTTTTGTTTGTTTGTTTGTTTGTTTGTTTTTTTGTTTTTTTTTTGTATTTGTTTTTAATGCGTATGGACTTTTATTAAATACACTGACATTTAGGCACAAAACAGGCTGAGATCGTTGGCCTCACCTATCTTATAATCTAGTTAGTATAATACAGATTAAAGACAGTAGACAGGTTCCATTTTAATTCTCAGTTGCCACAGTCAGTATTAAAGAGCTGTGATTTAGGTAATCCAAATGGCATCTAATCCTAAAATCATTTATAAAATGTATTGGGCCTTAATCCACTTCACTTCAGACAAGGCAGGTTCTACTGTAGATGAACCTGATGAAAACACACTGAAACACTTAAGAGCAATGTGAATGATTTTTTTTTTTTTTAATTTTGGATCTTTTATTTTTTATTATAGTCTGAAGCCTCCATAATACTGAATCATCAGACAGAAATATGTCGTCTTGTTATTCTAGATAACTCAGTAAATTTTTAGTCCATTCAAGTACAGCTTAATGGCTAATGTGTTTCTCAGGATTCAGTTCTGCTTTTCTAGTTTTAACTGG